GTTTTTCCTTTTATAAAGATAAAAACAGCCATGATGTATTGAGAGTTTGGCACACATACTGTGCTAAGAGCTTTTATGTAGGTTCCTCAAGAAATCCTGACCCTCTGCTACCCCAATTATACACAAGGTGGGCCTCTGAAGCCTGGCTGCTAGCTGCCCAGCCCACACCTTTCACGGGGTGCAGGCTGCTGGGGGCTGCGTGGCCCAGGCCCATTAGCACAGTGCGCAGCCAAGTCCACTCGATCCAGGGAATCCTGCTGCACAGAGCTGGGGCTGGGCCGGGCTCTCATTCCTCCTGCAGTCGAAACCCATGGGCCCTGCTTGCCACAGCCCTTGCCGGCACTGGGGGTGCAGTGGGGACGCATCTTTGTGCTCCTTGGGGACCACCCAGCAGGAGAGCAGGCATGTGATCTAGGGCCAGGCTCCGTATTGTCTCCAGAAGATTTCTTTTTCAGAGGAAAATACAAATATTTGAAAATATGAGACATATAAGCCAGAGAGTTAGCTAAGATCCCTGGACTTTCCTCAGGTGAATTTGGGGTACCCTCAGTATGTGCTGTCCACACTCATCAGCTCCAACTTCCCTTAGATACACTATGCCTTCTCTTTGTGTACAGAGCTCTGGGTGGATGGTACTTACAGTATTGTTCCTGAGTGAGTCAGGTTAGGGATACAGGACATCTGAGAACACAGAGATACCTTTGGCTCTAGCTCCCTGAACACCCTGAACACAATTCCAGGAGGCAGAAGGGCCTGGCCAGAACCACAACGGGCTACACAGGCACCCTTCAGGAAGTGGTACTGACCTTCTCTGACACACACATTTTCACAACAGAGCATGAGCGGAAGCCGACATCCATTTAAAAATATTCCTTTGAAAGAATCACCAAGCATCAATCAGAGACATACCCGTGAGGGCTCGTGGGGGAGAAACAAGACAGGCGGCCCTTGTGCAGGGAAGGCAGAGCAGCGGGGCAGGGGTGGGCAGGTGGGCATCCGTGGGTGGGGGGAGCTACCCGACTCCTATCCGGTCAGGTTGTGGTGAGCGTGGGGCTGGGAGGAGGGCTGGAAGTGATGCAGACCACCTGGGACAGGCCAGAACTGCCTGCCATCCTGGGGACCATGAGAGTCGGGGCCACACTTTTCAGGGGAGAACCTGGGCTTGTGCATCTCTGGCAGCACTTAGCTACTGGGCGCCACACAGAGTGGGTAATGCATCAGGTGCAGGCAGGCTGTGTCTCCAGGGAGATGACGAGGGCAGAGCTGGGTGAGGGGGTTGCCCCAGCAAGTGATGGGGCACAGGGTTGTCTGGGATGCGGACTGGGGCCAGGGAAGTGAGGGCTGGAAGCGGCTGCCCGGAGAGGGACACAAGGACAGTGGGGTGTAGTTCAGGGGCCCCTGGACATGGTTGGCTGGGGCAGTAAGGCAGGAAGTGGCTGCCCTGGGAGGCAGAGGGACAGAGGGACAGTGGGATGTGCATCCAGGTGTGTGTAAGCTGAAATAGTGAGGACGGTGGCCAGCATGGGGTGTCAGGGCACGAGGTTTCACAGGTGCGGCCCAGCAGAATTAGGGGAGCTGCCTGCTGCACCCATGGAGATGTCACAGCCAGGGCAGAACCCAGAGGCTGCACTTCCCTCTCCCAGGGAGTCTGAGCTGGTAGGCAGGGGGCAGGTGGGGAGGGTCCCCTGGAGGCCACCACGGGCAGCGCCCTCCGTCCTGTGGCTCCACAGCCCTGCGGTGGCTCACCCACATGGCAGGAGCTGGCTCCCTGAGGCCACCCTGCTGCAGCCCATGGAGCAGTGAGGAAATGGGGGCAACAGGGCCTTCCTGGGACCTCAGAAGGCACCAGCTGGGAGGGAGGATGGGGAGCACCACGCTGGATATGCAGTGTGTATACACGGGTGTGTGAGTGTGTGCATGGGCATGCGTGATTGTGTGCATGTGTACATCAGGTTAACAGATAAAATTAACAAAGACAAGTAGCAGAAGCTGGCCGTGGAGGCCATGTCCTGGTGGCTACTGCTGGTGGCAGGAGTGGGATACTTGGGCAGGGAGGAGCAGGCTGGGGGCAGAGAGGCAGGACTGCCCATGAGGAGGTCAGCATTACCAAAGCCGCCCATAGCTGGCTGTGGCGCCTGAGCTCCTGATGGGACCTTAGCTTCTAAAGTCTTGACACGTCAAGAACAGGAAAACATACAGCCTCTAGCGGGTGGCACTTTAGATGGTACACAATGCAGGCCAATTCACAGGGCTTAAAACATACCAGGGGACAGCAGAGAGAAGTGGTGATATCTGAGCAGCATCTTGTTTCTCAACAGCAGCACCCAAATAACATGGGCCGGGCTCACCTACACACCCTCCCCAAGAGAGCAGGGTCCCAGAGCTTCCTGTTCAGGGCACGTGACTGCATATCTCTCTCTCTCATCTCGCAGAGGAGGAATCTGAGGCCAAAGAGGGTAAGCCACCTTCCCATGGCCACACCACAAGCCCGGAGAGCTTGTACCCAGCACAGGGAAGCCTGGTTCATCTAGGGACTCCATAAGCGCTCGTCGAGGGCCCACGCCTGCTGGGGACAGCCTCATCTTTATCAGCGGGCAAATCCCAGGTCAGACCCTCATCAGAAGTATGAAAATGCTTTACAAGGAATGAAGATTTATCTAAACAGACACAATTGCTGGTGATGAGTCAAGCATGGCTGTTGTGGGCTATTTCTATTACTGAAATTGAATAACCTTAAATGGTCTCTAGCGGAAAGAATTCTGACATACTTACAATGGGACCAGAGAGCACAGAAGCAGTGGGCCGTCAGGAGCAGTGCTGAGCTGGCAGCAGTGGGAATCCCCCTGAACGCTCTGCCTAAGGTCTCCCCCAAGAGGAAGGTCTGCCAACTTCACCTGGGGGAGCCCCACAGGGGAGGGGAGCCCCTGGCCTTGTGCCCGCGCGGCCAAGCCGGGTTGTCCAGGGAATGTACCTGCTGCTCACACCCACGGCCACCTCTGCTCCCTCGGGCACCAGCCTCTCCTTCTTCATGGTCTGAGTCCTGCATGGCTTACAAGCAGGGGGGCCTACTCAGGGTTCCCAACTCTCAGTTCACATCAGAGTTATGGGAGGCTTAAAATCACAGAGCTCCAGAGTTGGTGACTTGGTCCCCGGCTGGGGTCAGTTTTCTCTAGCGTTCACTGTACACGAGCCCCTCTGAGCAGACCCAGGCCGACTGCACAATCTGGGGGAATGATTTCAGGCAACCACTAGGTTTTCCCAACTATCCTGAGCTTTAACATTCTGATGGATTTACGTTCCCATGTAACTTCTAAGTCCAGTTTCTCCTGTACATAGAAGTCACACACACATACACACACACACTACTTAGTCTTAGTTAGTGAGGTTTTTCTACTTGGTGGCACAGTTAGCTAGGTGCCTGAGGTGTCGTCCTAGATGGCTCTGCCTTAGCAAGGACTCAGGATGACATAGACAGAGCACCTCAGGGCATGCAGAGGCACTCCTGACACCCATGTTTGTAAAGTGATGAGGTTCCCTGGAGATCCATGCCCAGAGGTGGCAGCGATGTCAGTGCTGTCACCTGAACACAGGTGCAGAACTGGCTGTCCAGGGAGAAGGGGCTGAGTTGGCACACCAACTCTGCGGGAGGCCAGGGAGCTCTGGCTACTTGGCCCCCACTCCCTTCAAATGGGAGGAACGTTCTTGCGGACAACGGTGACGCACTAGAGCCTCCGTCAGCCGACCACTGGGTTCATCTAAACTATCCTGGACTGCGTGCACTCGGTATGTTGCTTCGGGCACAGAATGAGCCCCCAGCGGGCTGGTTCCTGCCATCCAGCTCAGCTAGGTGTGTGGGCTGGCTGCAGGCCCCCTGACAGATGTGAGGTGCATACCAGGGTGAACATCAATTCCAGGAGCCCTGTTCAGTGACAGGAAGAATCCCCAGGTGGAGGCCCAATGCCTCAGGGCTGTGATCCACCAGGGACTAAAATCCTTACAACAGTTTTGACTGGCATCTCTCTCCATAGGGGGCTGCTAGGTCTGGTGGTGGAGGAACCCCACTAGGCAGGAACAGGGGCTTTGTGAGGTAGTGGGTCCCCAGCCCCAGAGGGGACAGGTGGACAGGATCATCACAGAGGTCCCCCTCTCACTGTGGTGGGAGGAAAGGTCCAGCCTCTTAAATGCTGTAAGTGGCCCCCATCTCCATCCTGGGCAAGTGACCAAGACCCGCCTGGCTCAGGGAAGAGGAGACATAGTACCTTAGGTTCCCTGTGTTGGCCTGTTTCTTGGAAAAGCATCCACTTTGTGCTTTGGGGGCACAGTTCAGCCAACCCGAGATAAACTTGCCAGCTATTGTGGCTCTTTAAAGTCAAGACATTTGAAATCATCTTGTATTGTGTCTGGTGTCTCAGCTGTCTGAAGGGTGCAGGTGGAGCTGGATTTTCATTCCACAAATGTCACTCGGACGAGGTTCCCAACCCCTCTGTGCTGCATCCCCAGTAAAGATGAAGCAAGGGAGAACCAGCGGGACTAAAGGTGTGCCTGGGGCATGAAGGCTGATGCTGGCCAGCCAGACACCCACCTCCTCGGGGTCCTTCCTGGCCACCGTCTCAGGGAACCTGAGCTTTACTGAGAAATGCTGAGGGGCAGTGGCACTGAGGACAGAACCCAGGCTTTCTGCATGCTGTTCCACACATGTGCATGCGTGCACCCAGCAACCCAGACTCTCTTACCAGCTAGGCAGGCCAGTGAGTAGAATCTACCAGGTCTCACTCAGTAAGAAAAGCTAAGGTGAAGGGACGTGTATCACCAGAGAGCGCTATCACTCCTGCAGCCTACTGAGGAACTTCTACCTGCATTCACAAGACTTGCCACACTAGTTCCTGCACAAACACGACAGTAGTTAGCATTTCCATTCTCCAGACTGCGGAGCTACAAGGACTCACCAAGTGTACGTGCAAAACCATGGAACCTGTTGGGGTGGCCATGGCAGGTCTCACCTGGGAGGACAGGCAGACACTTTGCAGGGCACCACCCCTGTGGCAGGCTGTGTGCTGGGGCTGCAGAATGAGCTGTTCACTGGAAACTGCAGGTCCTGGTAGCAGCCTTCTCTCGTGGTCATGTGCCCTGGATGGAAAGGGGAAACGCATCACACACTGACCAGCATGCCCCCTGGGAAAAGGCAGATGAAGAGCGAATGAAATCTTTTAAAAAATCCTTCCCATATTTATATGTCTTTGTGTTAATGCCCAATTGGCCAACTTTCGATATTCAACATTTCTGACCTGTCTTCATGATTTTCATTGGTGAATTTCATCAGTTCTAAGAGGAGTGCTTTCCCCCTACATTTTAACACCTTTAAAACCAACACGTCTTGCAACTGATGCCAGCAAACATTTGACGAAACATACTAGTTCTACTCTTTCCAGAGCTGGGAACACCAGTCATCTCTCAAAATGAGCACAGCATTAACTATGCCTGACTTGTGTTTCCATTTGAGAGGTCACTTTAGGGAGAGATCAGTAATAAACCAGAAAGATAGACAAAGCGATAATAAACTATTTATTACCAGAGAAGTCACAGAATTAAATATGCCCACATCATAAACTGAACAGCAAACTTTTCACAATAATGACTTGGGTGTTGCATCAAATGAGGTCAATGGCCATAAAAGCTGTGTGCGTTCTCAGCCTCCATTCACAGCCCCCATGCTATTTAAGATTTTGTGGATGTGCCTAAATTTGTTCAGTATTCCATTCATGAAATTCACCATGAAAGGTACTATTACTTCCATGAGGCCTCTAGAGGGGCCAGAGTCATGCGGGGCAGGAAGTAGAATGGTGGGAGCTGGGGGCTGGGAGATGGGGAGCGGGAGCTGGTGTTTGAGGGGGACAGTGCTTCAATCCGGGACGCAGCTGTGAGAATGTGCTTAATGCACCTGAGCTGTGCACTCCAAAGTGGAAGAAACGGTCAACCTTCAGTCGTGTATGTAGCACCAGAACACAAAAAGCACTCTAGGTACATACATTTTGAAGGATGGTATTAAAGAGTTCATTTAGTGGAGAGGAAAAATAATAATAAAAAAGAACCAAACTTGTGTTGATATAAAATTAACACAATCAAAATGTATTACATTTAAAAAGGATTTCATCACTGTGCTTGGGAAATCCAACGGCGTCATGTTGTTTGTGCAGCCCATCTTCTCCTGCATTGGCAGCCCAAGCCCTTGCACGGCTCAGAGTGGCCCCTTGCACCCAGATTGGTCCCCACCATCTGGCAGATCACCAGAGCAGGGACCAGACCAGAGAAATGGTTTCAGAGAAGCCAAGCAGCAGGCTGCAGATGCCGGGCCCAGAGATTGCCAACAGTCAGCACCAAGGGAGCCAATCCTTGTTTAGGTACAGAAACTGCAGATCTGTAAAGCACACCCTGGATGTGAGTTTGACCCTTTGGCTTCGCTTTGCCGAAAGGAGTAAGGCAAGTCAGCGCGGGAAGTCCAGTTCTCTCGTAAGCTGATGGAAGGTCCAAAGCCGGAGGCTCTCAAAAGCATGCAGGTGTGGGGAAGACATTATATGGTGAATCTAAGGGCAAGGTTTAGTTAATAAATACGTGTCATCCCTTGAAACAGACTTCTGGAGGGCAGAAAGCATGTGCCCTCTGTAATCTCTGTAGCTTGTGTGGATTAATTTGCCCTCCAGTTAAGCCATTTTTTTGTTTTTGTTTTTTAATTTTTCATTAGGGTATGATTGATATACACTCTTACGAAGCTTTTACATGAAAAAACAATGTGGTTACTACATTTACCCATATTATCAAGTCCCCACCCAAACCCCAATGCAGTCACTGTCCATCAGTGCCACAAGATGCCAGAGATCCACTAGGTGCCTTCTCTGTGCTACACTGTTCTCCCTGTGACCCCCCAACACCATGTGTACTAAACATAATATCCCTCAGTATCCTTCTCCCTCCCTCCCCACCCGCCCTCCCACACCCCTCCCCTTTGGTAACCACTAGTTCATTCTTGGAGTCTCTGAATCTGCTGCCATTTTGTTCCATCAGTTTTGCCTCATTGTTGCACTCTACAAATGAGGGAAATCATCTGGCACTTGTCTTTCTCCACCTGGCTTATTTTACTGAGCATAATGTCCTCCAGCTCCATCCATGTTGTTGCAAATGGTAGGATTTGTTTCTTTCTTATGGCTGAATAGTATTCTGTTGTGTATATGTAACACATCTTCTTTATCCATTCATCTACTAATGGACACTTAGGTTGCTTCCATATCTTGGCTATTGTAAAAATTGCTGCAATACACATAGGGGTGCATATGTCTTTTTGAATTTGAGAAATTGTATTCTTTGGGTATATTACAAGAAGTGGGATTCTAGGGTCAAATGGTATTTCTATTTTTAGTTTTTTGAGGAACCTCCATATTGCTTTCCACAATGGTTGAACTAGCTTACATTCCCACCAACAGTGTAGGAGGGTTCCCCCTTCTCCGCATCCTTGCCAGCATTTGTTATTCTTAGTCTTTTCGATGCTGGCCATCCTTACTGGTGTGAGATGATTTCTCATTGTGGTTTTAATTTGCATTTCCCTGATGGTTAGTGATGTGGAGCATCTTCTCATGTGCCTGTTGGCCATCTGAATTTCTTCTTTGGAGAACTGTCTCTTCATATCCTCTGCCCATTTGTTAATTGGGTTATTTGCTTTTTGGGTGTTGAGGCGTGTAAGTTCTTTTATATTTTGTCTGTTAACCCCTTGTCAGATACGTCATTTACAAATATATTCTCCCATACTGTAGGATGCCTTTTTGTTCTGCTGATGAACTTTAGCTGTTTTTGACCTATTGGCCAGTTTCATTATATTCAGTAACTTCTAAGGGCAACTCTTAGACAAAAAGTCATTAAAATAGAGATATATTCTCATCTTTATACATTACTTAGGGCAGTTCTGAAGGCTCAGCCAAGTATCAGTGAAGAGATAAAATTGGAATCAATGTTTTATAAGCCCACTTTTCCACTTGCTAACAAGACTTAAAATTAGAAAAAAGAAACACATGCATGTTTAAAGTTTTTCTGCTGAGAATCTTATGGATTCTCTTAAATCAGTCAAGATTACCATAGTGACCCAATTTACATGGGGCCATACTGGGCAACAGTTCAATTTACTAAAACTGTTAGAGGTCACTGTAATGAATGGAGAAAAAAATAATGTTTCCTCTCTACTTACATCTTGATTTAAAAGTTCATTTTTTAATTCTTTAACCAAAATCATGGTTTTTCAAGAAGTGTGAATTGATAAATAATGGCTTCAGTGTGGTTTTCTGTTTTTAAATTAAAGACATATGAAAATCAGTCCTTTGCTCATCTCAACAATGAATCAGGCCTTAATGATCACTCATGGTTCTGAGCAAGATATAAGCTCTCCATTAAGCAAACAACAAACTTGTTTTTGCGTTGAAATAGAACAAATTTACTTTATCAAAGCACTAAGTTTTCTTTCTTACCAGAGACATCTGGTTGGCCCCCTCTTGATTACCTCATTGTATCCAGGTTCCTAAACCTTTACCTATTAATTGGATAAGAGGGAAATCTGGATCTAATGGTCCATGTAATAACTTGGAACAATATACTAGGAAATACATAACCTAAAGGAAAATACTGGGTTTGTCCAAGGTGTATGAGAGTTCTGACTCTGCCAGCTATTTCTTAGCTGGTGACCATTAAGACCTTTCATTTTTTCTCATGGGGACACACTTGGCACCTTAGACACCATTATTTATTGTGTAGCACAGTCACATATATGGCAAGGCTTTTAGCATCCCTGGATTCCCTACCCACTAAATGCCAACAGAAACCCACCCCAATACTTGTGGCTGCTAAGATGTCTGCACACATTTCCAAATGTCCCTTACGAGGGCCACTGCCATCTTGGGTTGACAGACCATTAGCAGGTAAAGAAGAAAGCCTGTGGTTGGGAAAAGAAAGAGGGACTGTGATATGCTGCCCTGGGATTTTTAGTGCCTAGCGGGAAACAGGAAGGCAGGTAGTCAGCAGGCTCACAACAAAATTCCTGTGAGAAAGTAACAATGATGGAAATGGCATGAAAGGGAATTTGTGGCAGGCAGCTAAAAATTACAGTTGAGGAAATTTCACTTCAGAAAGTTTTAAATACTTATACTGATAAATAAGAATGGAAGTAGGTGAACCTATTATCTAAGTGAGATGTTTGAAAAGAGAATAGCTCAAGGAAGCCGGAAAAAGGAATTGCTACAGACTGAAACGGGTCAGTTTGTTATAACATAAACATGTCAATATATCTGAATAGAGACACAAATTTGAAGAAGCTAATATGTGAGAAAAGGAGAAAAGGTACATCTAAGAGCTGCGTTTCTGGAGGGAGGGACTGTGATCTCCCGTCGGTGAGGCTCTCCCTTAGATCCCACCAGTGTGAGCACGAGCACAGGATGCAGAAGGCAGGAGAGAGGTAGGGCCGTATCGGCTCTTCCCCAGTGGCATGTACAAGCCTGGGCTTTGGCATGTGAGAGGTTTGCAGTAATGCAGGCATTTTTCCAGGAATCCCCTATTCCAGTACCAGCTCAGCTCTATTGTCCCCAGTAGTTTCTGCAATGTTCTTCTATAGCTTCCTAGTTCCTTAATAGCCCAGAGACTCAGAGCTAAAGAAAGGGGTTCCTCTCTGACCTTTACTCTTTGCAACCTTTCCAAATTACTTGTAAAAAATGATCCTCTATATTAAATACTGTCCTGCTTAAAATACCTAAAGTGGTTTCTGTTTTCCCAGCTAAAAACCATCACTGATACCCTAACTTAATGAAGAAAATAAGAAGTAAGCACAAATATACAACATGAGAAATGACAATAAGAAAATATCCATATTTAGAAGAGATAGTGATGATGTAATGAGCGTACGCTGTTCAAATATATAAACATAACATCCAAAATCCTATAGAAAAAGATGGTTTCTAATTAACAAAACTAACCACAGAAGAGATAAGCTATGTAGTCTAATTACCATACTAAATATAAAAATTTATCAAAGACTGAACTCCTGAAAAAGCAATAGATTGAGATGCTGCAAATAAATTCTACCAAACATAAAGGAATAG